TATAAACTTGCTTAACACAATATATATTAAAATTACGATTTACGAAATTTCATACCATAGCAAATAATATTGGCAAATATGTTGCCCATATGTAGAACATTTCATTAAGCTTAAACAGCAATAGTTATTTTGTAGGACACTAACCAATTAACCACTATATAATAAATGGAAAAAGTAGGGGTGCACATGCAACCAGCCCAGCAGGTGACATCGAACCAGTAGTATGTTGTTTGTTGTTGTTGTTGTTTAATCAGGAAACTACAACATTACGGTGTAAAAAATTTGGCGCTTAAACTTATTACTTCATATTTAAGTAACAGAACTCAAAAAGTCGTCATTAATGGTAAATGTTCCTCCGGATCGGTAGTATCAATGGGCGTTCCTCAGGGCTCGATTCTTGGCCCATTCCTGTTCTTAATCTATATTAATGACTTACCTTATCTTGTAGGGGACAATCACGATATAGTATTATTTGCTGACGATACCTCTTTAATTTTCAAACTGAAACGGCAGTCAATTAAATATGACGATGTAAATAATGCTCTATCGAAACTAGTACATTGGTTTAACGCCAACAATTTGCTCTTAAACGGCAATAAGACAAAATGTATTAAATTTACAATACCTAATGTAAAACATTCGAAAACCAATGTGCTCTTAAATGGGGAGGAGTTGAGTCTTGTGGATACCACTGTTTTTCTCGGTATTACTATTGACGCGAAACTTCAATGGGGCCCCCATATATCTAAATTAGCAAGCAGACTTAGTTCTGCAGCATATGCTGTAAGAAAGATTAGAAGTCTCACAGATGTTGAGACAGCTAGGTTAGTGTATTTTAGTTACTTTCATAGCGTAATGTCTTATGGAATTTTGCTATGGGGTAATGCGACTGATATTGAAGCTATATTTGTTTTGCAAAAGAGAGCCGTACGGGCGATTTATAATCTAAATTGTAAAGAGTCCCTTAGAGAAAAATTTAAAGAAATAAACATATTAACTTTGGCATCGCAATATATTTATGAAAATGTAATGTATGTACATAAAAACATAAATAGCTTTAATAAGAATAAGGATGTTCATACCTTAAACACTAGGAACAAACATAAGCTTGTAATGCCACTTACAAGACTCCACAGAATTAGTAATTCATTTATGGGGCAATGTATACGCTTTTACAACAGAATCCCAGAACATGTTCAAAGTTTGTCAATAAACAAGTTTAAAAGTTTTATTAAAGAAAAACTGTACAAAAAGGGTTATTATAATATCAAGGAATACATGAGTGAAAATAACCCCTGGGAATAAGGTGATCGCCACCATGCTGGTTCTATGAAAATTCATTTAAAATTGTATAATCAAAATTATTGTTAAGTGAAATTATGTTTAAAAAAAAAGTCCCGCTGGGTTTCTTGCTGGTTCTTCCCAGGACAGGAGGTATTTTCCGAACCAGTGGTAAATAAAATAATGACTTTCAATAAGTATTATGTAATAATCCATATTGAATAAAAATCATTCTATTCTATTCTATTCTAAAGTATTAGTAAACACAATGGCTTAGCAATGTATTCTACTTGCCACTGTAACAATCTTAATGGTAGTACACACAAGACGGTGTGATGATTGATATGCTTTTCTATTACCCTTACCGTTACAGCCTGAATATAGGCCTCCCCATACATTGCCTCATAGGGGGCATATTTTCCATATTTGCCACGCTTAGCAAGTGGGTTAACAACTGCAGTTTTTTAATTTTAATTACTATTGATGCTGTTGCCCATCTATTCTTTTGTTTCCTTTTCTTGTCTTTTAAGATACCCACGGGATGATATTATGGCGTAGTGGATATTCTTACACCACCACCTACACAATACTTACACAATAATAAACAAGTATGCTTTTCTATTAATGCACAATAATAATTTAATAAAAATTTATGCACCTATAAAAATTAATGTGTGTGTGCACCAACTCGTGCGTATTGTAATAACAATCAAGCGCTACACTGACTTCAGTAATCAAAAATTTTATTTCTTTTGGTTTTAAAATGAAACTTATTTAATTTGAAACAATAAGCATAACATACAATAATACTAACCTGTGTATACAGGTGCAGTGGTACGTGTCACAGTTGCTGATGGAACAGTTGGAGGTGGTGGAGGAGGAGGAGGAGGAGGAGGGCGTTGGATCAGTATAGAAGGCATTACCGGCATCATTGGTATTGCTGGAATCGGCGGCGGTGCAGGAGGTGCTGGCCGAGAAGAAGGGGGAGGTGGTACTGGAGGCGGAAGAGGTGCTGGTGCCAGGGAGGCTGATGTCGGCATTGGAGTAGGCGTTGCATAAAAGTCCCTAATAAACATAGCAATTTGAGGTATAGCCTCTACATTTGCTGAAGCTTAGGTACGACTTTCCATTGACTCCCATCGAGTTGGGGGTTGGGGCAAATCTAAATTCCCGCACATCAAAAGATTTTACCGCGATGGACTTTGCGTGTGCGGCCTAGGCTTGGACATACGACTCTCCAGTATTATATATTAGTCTATGCATACGACATAGTCGGTCGCCAATAGGCGTGTGTATCTCTTTACGGAAACGACTCACTGATACGAATCACTGAAGTGACACAAAAGATTGGTTCAGTAACAACGTTTCAAATGTATCATTTGTATCTGGAACAGTGAAACATTACTTTGCTCTTTGCTCATTTCGCGCGACGCGTCGCTTGCGAGGCGACTGAGCCACGAGCGAGAAAGAGAGACTGAGACAATGATTAACTTAACTATTGACTCACGAGTGGCGAGTGAGCGGGCGAAATAATTATAATCCACACAAGTCAGATAGAGATAACAAATAAGAAGTGTATCCTCAACTCGTACGGATTTTCGCTGACGTTATTCATGCACGTAAAAATTACCACTAAGGCGCTTATGTGTCAAATACTATACGGTCGTTTTTTGTATGTAACGTTTGCATTAACAAGTTGACATTTTACGTTGATGCGGCACTTGTCAAATTATTTATATTCATTAGCGCCTGTTTACGAAAACATACTGAGTTATGTTTAGGATTTCTTTGCGTAGTGATTATTGTGACTTTATTTTCTTCCTTTTCATCGTAAAGTTTAGAGTTATGATACTTTACGAGTAAATTCTGTGTACATAGACATTGCTGTTTTGTGTAAATGGACATTTTTGTAAATAATGAATTGACATAGTGACATTTTTGTTAAAGTATGAAGGACAATCGATTTTATATACAATCTTATTACGGTACACAATAAATAATCTAAGCACTTATATTATTCAGCATGGTTGCCACATAATATTTCACGGATCAGTCAGTAATAAACGCCCGCGACGCAACTTAATATACCTATTCGGAACATTCTTTCTTTTATATCTTTTGAGGCGATGATACAAATGAGCCAAATGAAACATATCAGTGTTTCGGAACATTTCAGTGATCAAGATGCAAATGTTCCAATCCCAGATATGATACACTTTGCCCACCTCCAGTCGCCAATCGCCATTGGGAGCGCTCAATTTAGTTCGTAGTCCTATAGCGAACTAGTTCGCTCATTTAGTTCATTAGTTCTTTTTTTAATTTTTCAGTAGATCTAATTAAAAAAGATGAATATCAGTAAATAAATATTAATGATTTAATTAGTATGTAATATACTACATAATATATAATAAGTGCAAGATACTTATCAAGAACTATTTCATGATATGTAAATTAAAATAAAATATAATAAACGAAACTAAACAGGTTTTTATATTTTTGAAGTGTATTGAAATAATGAAAATAACACAACTGCAATTTATAGATTACATGTCGCTAATTAATGTAACATAGTAACACAGTGTTACCATGATATAACACGCCTCAATATAAGGAATTCCTCGATTTAACGAATTTTTCGAAATCCCCTAGAACTGCCTGTAAGAGCTAATGCAAAATATAACTCTACATTACGAATAGATTTTATCAAACACATCTTTATAACGAATTTTTAATTATGGCATATATAGAAGATATTATAGCTCTATTTAACAATTTTTTTCTACTTGAAATGTTGACATAACATAACCTATCAATTATTCCCACTTAATTCCACAACAAATCATGCCTTGACAGCTTCAGACACGTACACGACAGGCAGGTGACTATTTACGTTATGTTGAGATTAATAAACAAGTTTTCTTACCTTGTTAAAATGAATCGTAGTTCCACCTAACCTGTATATAACGAACCTCATTATAACGAATTACTTGGAATAATAATGAATACTTTCTAATTCCATTCAGTTTCGTTATATTGAGGTTGCACTGTATTCGAGTATTTATTAAAATTAGTAGAAATAGAAAAGTAAAATTTTAATTTTGAATAAATTTACCGTAAAATCGAATTGAGAACTATACGGTATTGTATTTATGTACTATTTACTATCACTTTCATATTAATATTGTAAGCCAGCAATATTTGTTATTTTTTGTTAATTGTGCACTAATAAAACTTTTACTATAGACTATAAATTATATACTTTTAGCCATGCAGCACCACTCCATACTAGAGCGTCGCCAGAAAAATAAATATTTTAAGAACTAAGAGCGAGATTGTCGACGAACTAGTTCGCATAGTTCACCTAAAAGAGCGCTCTTCCCACCTAGGTCGTTCGCGAACTACCCAAGACTAGTGCGGCCACACTTCAGTCTACGCCACAGAGTACATTATATATAGGGAATAGAGTCATCACTTAGAATCGTAGCATTAGCGCCATCTATCGATATACGACGTCCCTACAGCCATAGATAAGCTAATATAATCGGAAGCAGAGAGTACTTTTATATATACTGAATCGGGAGCACGGCATTGACAGCTAGAACATTTTCTTAAAACTTAAGAGTTTGGAGGGCACTCTTAAATCAACACTTGGTGGCGCCACAGACTTCCTATTTTGACAAATGTCATAGTTAAAAATGTTGACATCCATCTTTTTTTACAAATCGCTGTCGATTCGTAAGACTCGTACACGTTTCTGTATTTTTACTGTTTTTGTTTACTGCTCTACAAATTCACTAGCAACGTTGAGTTGAGCTTCAGTTCCTCCGTTATCTCGTCGAATCTTTGTGGTGCTGTTGATTTAGTGACTTATAAGAGACAGGACTCATTTTAGAGATAGAACTCATATTTTGTGGAGTTATTATCTACTAGTGCCGTAAGGTTAAATAATGCCTATTACCGTGTGTTGTGTCAACTCTTGTCTTGCCAAGGATATAGTAATGTTTTACTTTCCTCGAGACAAAAACATGCAAAGCCTTTGGCTTTCTTATGTCGCTCCTCATAGCCCAGAACTTCTTCAACTGACATCGAAACAATTAGCCAAAAAGAAGATTTGTATCAGGCATTTCGAACATCAATATCTTGACGGCTTCACGAGGAAATACCACGGTTATCCTACTCTACTGACTGAAGAAGAAATAGCTTGTGGAGTACCCAGTAAGTACTAAAATATCTTTCCCATTTAGAGCCAAATTTAGAAATATATTTGATAAAGACTGAATTATACCCGAGGCAGTGATTTAAATTATTTATCAATGCAATATTAACCATGAGAGTAGAGTTTGAAGAAAATATGATACTAAATATATTGCATATTCTTATGAAAAAAATTTTTTTTGGTTTTATAATCACTGTTTTATAAGCTATCTTATATTACAAAATAGCTAAAGTGATATTTATTTCAGGTCAATCTATCACTGACTATTTTGATCATACTTACTGTAAAAGAAGGCAAGGTATGGAAGAAGCAGCTCCTGAAATAATTAAAAAGCCAAAATATAGTAAAGAATACATGCTTGGTAAATATTTTTTTATATTAGCTTGATATATATTATGTACACATCACACATATTTTTACCTTGGAACAAATTGTCCAATTAAGTAAGTCCAACTTTAACCGAGACATCAATCAACAGATCCAACTCAGCTGGGCAGCGTGTGAAGATTATGACACATCTTGTCATATATACCTCAAAACTTGAAAACAAGATTATACAACCAGTGCATAATGCCATTGATATCACGTGGATCTGAGATGTGGTCCTTCATTGCTGGGCACATTAGCTCAAGGTCACTTAGTGAGCTATGGAGAGTTCTAATGGTGATATATTATTTTTATTATAAAATGCTATATTTAATAAGTATAATATTAATATTATGAACACACATAGCACTCAGGTGTAAGATGTTCCACCTGGATTAATACAGCAGCTGTTGTACAACAAGGTGGCGTCTATATCACTTGGTTTTATGTATATTTTCATCCATTTTTTTGTACACCCTCCTTGATTTTAACTATTGTTTGCATAAGTGATCTCTCCCAGACGACCTTTGCATCGTCTGGGAGAGATCACTTTTAGAGTTACAAGAAAGCTTTTTGTTCATATTATACTTTAGATAGAACTCTACTCATTTTCCTATATTTAGGTATACAATTAAAAATAAAAAAAGTTATAAAGTAATTATTTTAATTGCAGTTAATTTAGATGGTTCACAAAATAGTAAAAGAGAAAATACTGGAGAGACTTCTGTGTCAGATGACATCACCATGTTGTCAAAGCCATCAACTTCTCAGGAAAGTTATTACATCTCCATGTCGCCAAAACCATCAACTTCTCAGCAAAGTTATGATGTCCCCATTTCACCAAAGCCATTGACAACTCAACACAGTAAGCTTACTTTAAATTAATGTAATGTTAAATGTTTATACATAATTACATACTTTATTTTCCACTATGATCACAAAATGCCTGAGCATCATAGTGATCTTTCTTTATACCAGATTGTAAAATAAGAGTCATATTAATTGTAATTTAACATGTAGTTTCCTAGTGTTAATGTTTTTACATACATGTGTACTTTATTATAGTCAAAAGATAGAACAATGCCAACAGTTAAATAAAAATATTTATTTCATATGAACCATTTGTAATAATGATTACAATATCACTCATACATATTTTTTTCCAGGTGATAAAAACAAATGTATTAAGCTTGTAAAAAGTAGACCACGACTTGTAACCAATATTAACAACTTAACTCCAAGATGTCGAAGGTTGTACTTTAAGTGTAAAGATATGATTAAAAGAAAGCGATTGTTTACAAGTAATGAAGATAACAAACAAAACATTGCTCATGCAGAAATTCTTAGCAATACCAAAAGTTTTAGAAAGTTAATAGAAAAGTTAGATTTCTTTCCAAAAAAGTTTATAGCATTGCAGCTGAGGTTTGCTGGCAAAGCTTCAAAAGGAAGAAGGTATAATATTGATGAAAAATTAATGAGCATTGCACTGTATAAACAGAGCCCCAAGGGATATTCCCTTCTACAAAAATTATTCTCTTTACCAACCAAAAGAACTCTGAATAGAGTTTTACAAAATATTAACTTTGGAGAAGGTATAAATGAAAACTTTTTTGCAATTTTAAAACAAAAAATCAAAACATGGAGTAATGCAAAAAAACTGTGCAGCATTGTTTTTGATGAAGTTCAGTTATCTGCACATTTGAATTTTGTTGCAAGCAATGATGAAATTGAGGGGTTTGTTAAAGCAGATGGGCCCCCAAAATTTGCTGACCATGCTTTGGTAGTGATGCTCAGAGGTATTTGTGCATCATGGCGACAACCAGTAGCTTACTATTTTTGCCAAGGAACTACACCAGCAGCTACCTTGAAACATATTTTAAAGGATATGGTTAAGAAAGTATTTGAATCTGGATTAAAGCCTTTAGCCTTCATTTGTGACCAGGGAGCTACATCACAGCGTGCTCTTAAAGATCTTCAAGAAGAGACTAAGAGACATTGTTTTCAAAATAATATAAAATTTGGTAAGCTTAAAAAATAATATTAAATACATATAATATACCTAGTATTATGTCTATTCCTACTTTAAAATGGGTTAAATTAAACTTTTGAGTATGGAAGGTTTTGGTTTTGAGACCAAAAGTTTCTGAAAACATTTTAATGAGTGAAAGCTAAAATGCACAACTCCTATAAAGTCTTCGAGTTGAGCACTTCACCTATTTTTCTCTGTCTAAAATTATAAACCTTGTAAAAATAATATCCCATCATTGTAATGAAATTTTTTTTTTGTAGATGGTAGTATCCTAATTGGGGCAAGTAACTTAAGTGTGATCTATGACCCTCCACACTTAATAAAAGGCCTACGCAACAACATGTTGAATAAGAATTTAATTTTTGAGGGAAAACTAACAAAATGGGAAGACATTGTAGATGTTTACAACTATGACTGTAAATTAGGAAATATAAGAATGCTCCCAAAATTGTCAGATGAGCATGTTATACCAGAAAAAATAAAGAAGATGAAAGTTAAGAACTGCACTCAAGTCTTCAGTGAACGTGTAGCTGCCACAATGCAGTATACAGCAACTTTTTGTAAGTTAACTACTGCCTATTTTTTCATTAAGCTTAACTTTATTCATATTTTAACTATGGTAGTCTTTTAAAGTGTTTTTGGCGAGTTCATCAGGGTTTTTTTTATAGGATAAGGGTGACAAACGAGCACACAGTCCACCTGATGGTAAGTGGTTTCTGTGGCCCATAGACATCTACATTTATCCTCGATTACGAATCAAAATGCAGATGCGTTGTCACCCGTGAGACTAAGATGGAATGCCTCATTTCCAGTAAAAAGGACCTCCGGCCACCTGCACTCACCAAGCGAAACGCAGAGGTATACCTATACTTCATGCTGGTTTTCTGTGAGGTCGTGGTACCACCCTTGTTCAAGCCGGCCCATCCGTGCGAAAGCAAAAGCTGCCGCGTAGCTCTACCACTGTTAAAAATTATTATATATATTTTAAATATTAAATTATTAATTTCATAAAAAAATATTTTGTAATAAACATGAGTAAAGAATGCCTGTTACATGTAAGTAAATACATCATGTAAAAGTAATTCTAATTTCATGTTTTTTGTTCCAGCTCAGCGACATGACGGAACACAAATCAGTGAAACAACAAAAAATACAGCTGCAGCAGTTGCTTTCTTTGACCAATTGTTCGACACTTGCAATGGTTCGAGGTCTGGTAGGGCTCCAGGAAAAATACGAGGTCCAGTCAAACTGAATAGTGCCCACAAAGCATTTTGGATTGAAGCCATTAAGAAGTTTAAAAAAATGCATTTCATTCCAAAAAGTTCTTTAGAAAAGGCTACAATAAAAAATGTACCAACATTAAACAATTGGGTTACAACACTAGAAAGCCTAATAAGAGTGAGTGAAATAATGCAATCAGAGGGGGTCAGTTTCTTTTACACGAGAAACCTAAATCAAGACCCCCTTGAAAATTTCTTTGGCAAAATAAGAGCATATAATTATAGATATACCAACCCCGATACATTTACGTTCCGAAACTCTTTTAAATCATTATTAATGACGGACATGCTGGCCATCCACACAAAAAATTTTAATTGTGAAGATGATATAGGGGAGACCATATTAAACATAACAACTTTATTGAATGAGGAATTTGCTTCAGAAGAACAACCAGTTTCCGATAGTAATGATAATAGAAACCTTAGCTGTTCATCTGAAGTAAATTTATCAGGAAATATGGTCTCCTCCATATTTGAAGAAAAAATAAATGTAAATGCGAGGAGTTACACTTCAGGATATATTATAAGAAAACTGTGTCAGAATAAATGTAAAAATTGCAAAAAAACATTTTTAAATAATGAGGATCAGCAGCTTAGTGTCCATGATTTAATTAGACACAGGGAGCGAAAGCACCTTAAAGGGAAAAATCTTATGTACCCTAGTACAAGATTTATTGTAGCATTTTCAAAATTAGTTGATTTAAGTAATGTGGTATTAAATAATGCTTGCCACAAAGGAAATATTATTAAAAATATATCCGAAAAATTTATTACTCAAAATAATTTGGAATGGATAGGCTGCCAAGAGCACCATGACGAAATAAAAAAAAAATGTTTACTTCTTGGGGCTAAAATCCAAGTGTTTCACTGGTGCCGTACTATAAACAGAATATTGAATGGATCGCATTCTGTAATTAATTTTAACGATGCACCATATGTTCAAAAAATAGCACATATAAAATGGTTAAAACAAAGAAAATATAAAAAATGAAACTTGTAAATATGTTTTTTTTTTAAATTCCTTTCCCTTATTAATATAACAAATAAAGAATAATGAAAATAAAAGTAATCGATAAACTCAATGCACATCCCTATCGCTGCAAAATCTATCGATATCATGGATGATCTATACACCCAACACTAACAAGGTAGCCATCTAGCGGTAAAAAGCTTGCCCTCCAAACTCGCTACGGCGACGTACTGTCCTATCTGTCTTGTACATACAACTTTATAATTTGTGATCGGGAGCCTACAGCCCAGCGACGACGTAGGATACTCTATATTACAATATTTATTATTTATTTTCAAAGTAATTTCCAAAAGTCAAACCATTTTAATATAGATTTGGCTTTTGGAAATTTTACTTTGTATACAATATAATTTAGGCAAATAAAACAACTGTTTAGCGGTTGGATGTTTTTTTATAATGCTTCCTTTTATTATAATAGTACACAACAACTTCTCTCAAAAGAAGCCACAATCCAGGTCAACAGAGCACTAAATAGTTAAGCAAATCAGGGTCCAGAGTTCATGCGTAAGTGCAACGAAAAAGGCGAAGTCTTCGGAGTCCGGGGATCAAGCAAAGTTGTTAAAGTCTTATAAACACAAACAGAGCACATTCACAAACCACGAAAGGAAATGTAATGACAAACAGACAAATTAAATTACGTTAAATGAAGTTACTAGTTTTACACTCACACAAACTACTAGTTTTAGTTTTTTTTGTTTTTAATATTGTATTGTATGTATAAAATAAAATTAAATATAAATGACATTGACATTTGTAACATTGACAGACCGAAATGACCATAGATCTCTCTTCTCTCCTTCCGGCTCTTGCCATAGATAAACTGAGAAAACAATTTGCAACGGCGAAATCATAATAATTCACTTGAATAAATGTAAAATAAATAAATTACACTAAAAATTTAATTACAAATTTGTTTTGTAACAAAATAGTAAGTTAGCAAGGTTCGATTATATTTTGAACTATTCATTAATTTGTTTGATTCTTATTTGGCCTAGCATGGCTAAATTTAAAAAAGCGACATCTACTGCAACATGGACAAACTGTCATGACATATTAATACCTCTAAGAAAATTATAGTATGGACTGTTATGCCACTGGTCTACCCATAGATAATACACTATATACTAGGGATAGATGCGCCACTCGCATTTCAGTTTCCGAATGGGTGTACCGTGTACGCTAGATGCCGCTGTATTCCTTAGTACAACGCGGCTTGCGGTAGTTACCACATGGTTACCACTAGATGGCGCATTTTGTCTATGACTATATTGGTAATTATGAACTATGCAGTTTTATTAATAATGTTTCTGTTTATGCATTCTACCAGATAATTATTGGATATCTCCAATGATTATCTTAAATCTTCAAATAGTAATTTTGCAGATAACATTAACACTAATAAAACTTAACCTATTTCACATAAGATTTTCATATTAATATCAAACACTGAACATAATTTTAATTATGTATTTATTTTCTTTTATGAATGTTATAATATTTAATAGCTTGAGTGTTGACATTATCATTTTCACAATCACAAATCAGTAGTTAATAATTTTCCATTTAGCAGCCTGTTAACATTGGTGCATAAACTGTGAACCACCACATTTATTGTTTAATTTAGTAAATAATTATAAAGCCTTAATTATGATATTCACACGAGAGGAACGAAAAGTTGCAAAATATTTTCGTTTTCTGAATTATCGTTTCAATAATATTCGTATTTATTATGGCTCCAGTACACGTTAGCCGAGCGCGCTTGGCGAGCGCACTCGGCAATACACACTCTTATCTATGACTCGGCAGATTTTCGTGGTACCGTTCACACGTTGCGTTGGCGTGTTTCATTCTACCATAGAGTAGAGTAATATATACCGGAATAGAGAGCCATCTTCTAGGATTTTTTGTCACCCAATACAAATAGTGGCACAGTGTCGCCGTCTGGTATCATATCCGTTGAACTAATCTCAATATTTTGACTATAGATAGTTATTTATGTAGTTATGCATAAACAGCTATTTATACTATAGGCAGTTATATTTATATTTTAAGGTATTAGGGTTCTATTAAAGATGTACGACAGATTTCAGTGATTTAAAGATTTATTTACAACAACTTAAAATTACATAAATGGCAAAAGCGTTCGTGAAAACGTATATTATTTGTCACATCAATGAAATATTGATTTAACTTTGTTTTATGAACATCCAATAGCACAAGTCCTCGGCATTTTAAAAAAACAAGATGCAAAAACCAAATAAAATATTTGTTGTTAAATATTTCGCACAACACTACACATATTATGTACATACAATGTGGTTCCAGCATGAAAAACTAAACGATAAGGCGGGATGAGGGCTAATCTCAACTCAACCAAACTTATTGTAAATAGCAACAACAACCGAAAATTACATAAATGGAAAAAGCGTTCGTGAAAACAACGACTTGCTCACACGCCGGTAGCCAGAAGGAGCCTACAGTATCTTGAAGTTTTTTAGTTTTATGCTTGGGTTGATTTCATTTCACTAATTACGGGATTCCAAACAGTCCAAACGCCATGGGTTGACTAACAGAGTATGCTAAGTGACATTAAGTTCCTCCTTAGTAACCTTTATGTTTAGAACAATAAAGTTTTTAAATAAATAAATCCTTAATATAACTTTTATGTAGCAAATTTATATTAGCTTGCTACATATATATTTATCTATGAGCCATTATGTGATAAAGTAATAAAGTTGCCACTTGCCAAAACGAGAAACTTATTGCATCTCAGACCGACAAAATAAATATTTTTATTCAATATATTTTTAAAGAGGCTTTTGAATGTCCGTATAATTATTAATCTTTTATATTTATGATACAACTATAGAGAATTCCATTAACCTCCATACCCAATAACCAGAATTGGTGTTATCGCCATCTAGCGCACCTTTTAGAATTTGATGTTCGAAAGTTTATGCGGATATCGTATAAGATGGCACTAGTGTCTTTACAGATTATTGGATCCCTACCTATAGTATGAAAGTGTACCCCCCCTGCATTCTACGTTGGTAGCTAGATGATGATGGACGTTAGGGCAATCGCGGTCGCTGTCATATACTTCACTCTTCTCAGAGTGAACGAAAAAAAACTACACATACAACAATAATCCCAGTTTGTCCTTTTTAGGGTTCCGACCTCAAAAGGAAAAAAGAAACCTTTATAGGATCTACTAGCTGACACGTGCCAGCTTCGCTGGGTGTTTTTTCAAAATAAATGATAGCCCAAAAGAAGCCCCTAAGCTACATTATCCCTGAGCAACATAAACACAGGGATAATTTATAATAATATTTATCATTAGGTAGGTACTCTGATATCGCAACTAAACATGTATTATTTAATGCAGTTAGGCAAGTTACTTACTCTGGTTTTATTTTTATGTTGCTCATGTTTGGGATTCCATATAACTGATTCATTGTGAGAATCAATCAATGAACAATGAATCAATATTTCACTCCATAATTATTAAATCGTAATGTGTTGGTAGTGTCGTGTAGTGGCGGTTAAGAATATCCACTACCCCATATCTTCCCGTGGGTGTCGTAAAAGGCGACAAAGGGAAACAGGCAGGAGATGGGCAGCAGCATCTTCCTGATAATAGCCAAATAACAATAAAAAAAAAAACTGCGGTTGCCAACCCGCTCGCCAAGCGTGGCAACTATGGCAATATCCCCCCCATGAGCAATGACAATAATAAACGGCCCCCAGTCCCCGGCGGCCCCGCTATTCCTGGCTACGGTGGCGACCATGGTAACGGCGGGGCAGGGGGTGCTAAGAATCTCCGGTGGA